GACGATGCGATAAAACTGGTGATCCATTTGGTAGATTCAAAGGGGAAGACCCCCTCCCCTCTGCTGTGGACTTCAGATCTCCGTCATCGTTGCGTGTTCCATGTCGGGGTGAGAGTCCAGCAACCCTGTGCTGCGTGTCCTCCATCACAACTGTTCAGCAGGGCCGTGCAGTCTCTGCTGAAGGTGTGAGCCTTGCCCAGACACGGAGTAGCGGCTTTCGTTCAAATCCTAACAAGGCTGAATGTCCAGTTCCTGAATGCAGCCACCTGAACCTGCTTCTCTGTGAGCCACTATGGAGTCAGAGTTGTTCTCAATTTATGTGGAAGGGGTAAATTGAAAATTATCTTATGTTTTCCTACCCCCCCCCGCCAAATACAGAGAGGAGACAGAATTACTTTGAAATGAAAGAATATTTGCAAGCATGACTTTTCATTTTTCTGACACAGACTATCATGGGAATCTTTCTCCGTAAATTTCATGTCTATGTTTAGCTTCCCTGAGTTGGTTAGCACTATGGTGTGGTCTTTGAGGAGGTTCTTCCTGTTTGTTTTTGCTTTATCTCTAGCATCTGGTGGTAGGAGGATCTTATAGATATTCATGTAGATATAGAAACATTTCAAACTCCAAAATATCTTTGGAAATGTTTGATATAACTTATCATATTTCCTACATATCATTATAGTAAAAGATAATTTATTGTAGGTTTTCTGTAAATCCAAAGCTTATATATAGTAAAAATGAATCTTTTATAAATCACTTTCATGCCCATCTCTGTCACTGTTTTGGGGTTTTCATAGTATTTGGAGAATCGAGTTTAAAGATAGTCTTTACGATTACATACTAGCTTAATTCATTAAGTCTCTACTCCTTTGTCCTTTTGGTTTGTGCCGTAGTTTCTTCCCTAGAGAAGAAGTACATGTTCCTGGACTAAAGCAGAAATTTCATTCATGGTAGCAAGTCAAATCAGAACGAGATGAGAAGGGAACAGGGAAGGCAGTGGACAAAGAGTAAGGTGAAATCACAGAAGCTGATGCATTCCTAGGTTGAGTAGAAGGAAGAACCCTCTATGGGGAGAGGTTAAAGGTTCAGGTGAGAGAAGGTAGTGAATTTGGGGGGAATTAGATGACAACACTGTTGTCGAGGGGAGTGGAATCTTGAACAAGAAGGATGAGAGAGAGAGGATCTAGGAAAGGCAAGGGTGATCAGGCCTAATGGCTTCCATCATTTGGGTGCTATGACAGCCGTGTCTCTGGTCTGTAAGTTTGAGGGTAACTAGACAGAGAACACGGGGTCAGTGGGGTAGACTTGGAATTAGCTTTAAGAGATAGGGGAAGGAAAGTAGCCAGCTGTAAACAAAACATTTGTAATGGATTTTAAAGACGAGGCATTTTCGCTTGATCATGGGAAAAACCTGGGTTTTTAATTCCTCTATATTGCACTTGTAGAGAATTTAGAATTTTTTCCATTCTTGATTGCTATTCTCTTGGGGTGGGGACATCTTTCCATGACAGAGGATTTCCATGTGGTCGGGAATAGTGACTTGGCCTGGGTGTGTATTTCAATGAGTAAGCGCTTGCGTGGTGTTCATGAGACCCTGGGTGTAAAACTCACATGCACTGAGCTCCTCACCAACAGCTTTCCTGTTTACCCTGCATCTCGTCATATGTGTAATGTCTGTGTTCTTTCTACCCTGCATCTCATCATACATGGGATGTCTGTATTCTTTTAAGCCTGAACACTCATGTACGGTGTTAAGCACTGGCATCTAAGAGACCCGTCTTTCCTCCACATCCCTAACAGTACCCTTTATTTCCGTGTTTCCTTCCGGCCCACATTCCATGGACGACAAAACACATGAGGCCATTCTTTGCGACCATGCCTTACTTGCTTGGCAGGATGACCGCCTGCACACAACGTGATTTCGTTCTTTGCGACTTAACAAAGCTCCGCTGTGTATCTCCACCGCATTTTTTATTCAGCCATCTGTGGATGGGCACCGAGGCCAATGCCATGGCTTGTCTAAGGTGCTTCAGTGGACACAAGCGCGTGGGTATATTTAGTGAACGCTAACCCTGGTTCTTGTGAGTATATATGTTCAGAAGTAGTATAGTTAGATCATTTGGTAGTTCTGTTCTTAGGAACCCTCCATTCTGATTTCTTTGCTGCTTGGGATTGTTTACATTCCCATCAACACCCTTCTCCCCACGTCCTCACCAGTGTCTGCTTTTCTGGAGACGGTCATTCTGACTGGTGAGACAGGATCTCCATGTACTTTTAGTTTGCATTCCCTTCAGTGATAAAGACAATATGCATTTTCATGTATTTATTAGCTACCCAATGGCATTTTCTATATGGAGTATGAACCATTAACGTCAGAGATAATATGATTTCTTATAGTCTGCTTGACCTGGGGGATGCCTGACCTGCCTGTAGTCTACCGTGCCTCTTTTTCTCCTCCTGAGACTGACCTCACTGTGCATGTGACTGGGGCAAGAGCTGCCCACCCCGGGTCTCTGTCCCTGCCTCTTCTAAGAATAGATAAAGGATTATGTAACACCTCTGAGAGTCCCCTGGTCCTGGAGAGCCAAGCCCTTAGAATGGTTCTCCTCGTTCCAGTGCTGTCTGGTCTGCTTTGCTGATGTTGTGTGGTGCAGCCCGTACTGAGTTGACTTTAACTGGTTGCTTGCGAAGAAAGATCTCGGTGGGACCAGAAGGGCAGATGCCCTTACAGAAACACAGCTTCCTCATGGGCACGTTATAGTCAGAGCAATCCTGAGCCGACTGCTTGCTTCTGGTTTTAGCCACACTGTTGCTCTGTGTGCCCTCCCCTCTGCCTTCCTGGGGTCAAAGGTAACAGCCAAATTATTTTTAGGAACTCACTCATGTGCGCTGTTGCCCTTCTCGGGTCATTTTGGTTGTTGCTCTTCTTCTGAGACAGGACTGTGCTATAGCAAGGCTAGCCTGATAATTAATTATATTCCTCCTGCCTCAGCCTCCCAAGTGCTGGGGTTATAGGCATGCACCTCCACTCTCAGCTACTAGTTACTTATTTTAAAGAAGTTTTTTGAGCCAGCAGACTCTTGCTACTTCTTGTCCCTCTATGTTTTCCAAGGAAATAAGAGTTGAGGTGAATTTGTTTGCAAAAGTTTGAGAATTCCTCTCCCCATCTAGGCAGCTCTGATTGTGCAAAAAGTAAGCGAAGGAACTGCCCTTTGTAGCCTACAGTATTAATGCAAGCCCGTGATTCCTGGGCAGGCTGGTAATGATGAGCCTAAATCCCTAGTGGGTCTTACGGTGTACGTACCCATCAGGAATAGCGTTCATGCGCAGTGAACAGATACGACGGCGGTGGTGTCTTAGCCAGACAGAAGCACACTTATTCCCAAGTAGCCGGGAGCCTAAGTACAGATGGTTTCAGAACCCTACAGACTATCACAGCTGCTTCTCATATTCCTTGCTCTGCCCCCTTAATTTGCGGCTCTCAGCAAAGAAAATTGCAGCGGGGAAAAAAAAACGAACAAAAAGATGCTGAACCCATCCCCACCCACTTTAAACCAGAATAATCTTATCTGAAGTCCCCCCAACCCCAGTAAACTCTCAACTTAAATCTTACTGGCCACAATGCAGCTTTGTTTAGCTGCAAAAGACTGGGGCGGGGGGGGGGGCGAGTCTTTTGGAGCAGGCGCAACTGTTGCCTTGAACACAATTGTAATTAAGTTGGCCAAGAACTTCAGTGACCAGGCAGCACCGTATACACCTTTTAAATCCAGTGCATAATGGTTGCCTGAGGGTCTTCTAGGCAGACGTCCTGAGTGCGTTCTGCAAAGGAGTAGGTTGTCTGGTAGACGGTCCAGGAGAGCAGGTGACGTCACCAATGGGTCATGCTTTTCAGTGCTTAGGAACTGCGGTCTTGCTTGACCTTCCATACTAAGGAATCATTGCTTTATCGTGTGATAACCGCGAATGACAGGGAAAGACCAGCCCGCTCAGAGATCCGTGGCTTCTAGAACCCTGAACCCCAGCCCGCCATGAACACTGATAGCGAGCTTCCTGAGCCCCCAATCCTGGCCCGTTTTCTGCTTCTTCCCAGTTCAGAAGAGGGCTGTTTTCCCATGTAGGACCACGCCTTTGTGTTCTGAATCATTTCTCCATCTCCCCATCTTTATTGGAGGTGGTGCTCGACCCCTGCCTGCTTTGCCCCACGTGACTTGGAAAGCCAATGCCACTGTATCGTTTCCAATCAAAAGACCAAGTTTCAAGCCAGTATACTGTAAACAATGTATCTGTCCCTCCTTTTGGCTCTCCTCATGGCAGGGCAGAGTCAGAGGCAATCAGAGCGTCTCCTAAGCACAAACACATTGGCTTTTACCTCAGGAGGTGAGGGGAGCGTTACCGCTTCTGGGCGGTGTGAGGAAAGCCTGGGAAATGTTGTCCTCTGGGACACCGTTGTTTCTATCTTTCTTCTACACCACAGTGAAGACTTTGCCTGTTACTGTTGCCACCTTTGTCCTGGAAGACATGATGACATCATAGACCTCTTAACACTGGTCGGGCAGCTCTGCTACTGCCTGGCTCAGCTGCTGTCCCTGGGTCCTTCATTCATCCACCATGAGTTCTGTTGCGTTCTCCCAATTCAGCTCGCTTCCTACCTTTGAGAAAGGTTCTGTAGATGAATTTTACCCCAACCCCTTCTTGCAAACCAGCTCAGCACTGAAGCAGCAGTAACTTAACCCTTTGTTCCCTGCAAGATTATCTTTTGGCAACACCCTGGCCAGACCAGAAGGAGCCGTCAACTTTCCTGTTATACCTCCAGTTTCCAATAGATGCGAAAGCGGGAACTCAGATGGGCTAGGAGGTAGCCATTAGAAACAGCGGCCACTGGTGTCTGCCCTCTTTATTACCTTCTTTCTACTTATTTTAGAATGTGTGCTGATCTTTGAGGTAAGAGGTGATGGGTTGTAATTAAGCTAAAAGTGTTTCTTTGGGGTTTTTTTTGCCAGATGAGAATTCTCCAGCCAACTTCTGGGATTCTAAAAACAGGGGCGTCACTGGAACCCAAAAGGGACAAATTGTCTGGAGGATTGAGCCTGGACCCTACTTCATGGAACGTAAGTAATTGACAAGCATGGTAATCTTAAAATTGAGCAATATGGGGGGGGGGAATTGAGCAATATGCATATTACTCAGTCATATCTGAATGTTATTTTTAAAGGTTTTGGCTCTTATTCATATGTTTCTATCATGAAGCCCCATATTAGAAGATATTTTGCTTTAGAAAATGCTCATCGGAGATTGAATATTTAATACTGGGCAGTTAATGGTGACTTCATTGATTTTAGGAATCAGAAAGGATAGTTCGATGTTTTGATTGACCTATGAATTTTGTTTGCTTTGAATATTCCTCATTTCTTACCAGCAAATGGTTACCTTTTGCGTGTAGGTCAACGGAGGATGGGTAAGGTAGTCTGTGCCACCTTCAACGTCAAATGCTAATAATCAGAAATTGGATGCAGAGAATCAATCATTATCCATTGTATGTGTTGTATGTGTGAATACAGATGCTAATATCGTACATAGTTCATTTGAGATACTGCGCCTGTTGGTTTTTAGTAAATGTGACAGGGTATGTGTTTATATTCACTACTAATATTCCTGAGGATGCAGGGATTTTCAGGATATTTCATGGAATGGTAAGAAAACAGGTGAATTTGCTAGTTTACCAGTTTACCAGTTTACCAGTCAGTCCAGGTTAATTCCGATATCTTCAGAAATTTTCTTTCTTTAACAGATGGAAAAGCATGGGCTTTTGAGACTTTTTTTTATTAACACTGAGCTCCAAGAATGAAAATTTCTACATGTAAAGGATTTATTGTAAGAGATCCTATGAATACTCGAAATAACAGGACTTATCAAGGCAAAATATCCAGTGCCATTTGAACAGATGAGAACTTGATGCAAACGTCTTTAGTGAGGTTTCTGAAACATCTGTAGCATCAAAAGTTAATTTAGAAGATTAGCGTCTCGGGCCGTCATCAGTATGAACGGTATCGGGTAGCTTCTTCCCGTGTCCTCTCTAGTGGGGCAATGCTCGATCGTCCCCTCTGGTCCTGCTTCTGCCCGGTAAGCTGTGTCCTGCCCCATAGTCCGATGCTCTTGTCGTCTTGTCTGTTGAAGCCTTGTCAATACAGGAAGCACAGCTGTGACCCCAAAGGGATAAAAGATAGTTTATTCTGGAGGCCAATGTGGATAGTTTATTCTGGAGGCCA